CTCTCCGGGCTCCCCTGACTCCCTGCTCTCCCTCCACAGATGCCGGACTCTCCGGTGCGCGACTTCGAGGAGGCGCGCCGCGTGTTCCTGTGCGCCCAGCGCTGGATCCAGCGCGCCAAGGAGTACTATTCGCTGCAGGAGCACGCCTCCGACCACGTGGAGGTGGTGCGCGAGCACAGCCAGCTGTTCAAGGCGCTGATCTTCTTCGAGAGTGACCTGGACCGGTGCGGACTCGAGCGGTGGAAGGGGAGGGGCGGCCGTGGTGTCGCGGGGCCACGGTGTCGGATAAGGCTGCTGCCGCTGTCAGTTCAGCCACGGGTCTCCAGTTGTCTGAGGAAGAGTGAGATCAGATGAGCAGTGACTGACGTGTTGCTAAGTGATGGGAAACTGGATTTGTATCAAGGTTGATGTGCCTTAACTGTGCTGCCAGTCATCGATGTCGCCATCGCTGACCTGGTCCTCGCGCCGCTTCCAGCCAGTGCAAGATGTACAAGCGTCGTGTGGACCTACTGGAGCCGGTGCTGGCCGAGCTAAACCCCACCTACTACCTGCTGGTGATCCGGCAGCTGCAGTACGAACTGGCCGAGATCTACAGCGACATCGCCCAGTGCAAGGTCGAGGTGAGCTCAGGTCCGCGGCGTGGAGAGGCGAGATCTAGAGCCGCAGCGACATCGCCCAGTGCAAGGTCGAGGTGAGCTCAGGTCTGCGGCGTGGAGAGGCGAGATCTAGAGCCGCAGCGACATCGCCCAGTGCAAGGTCGAGGTGACCTCAGGTCTGTGTTGTGAGACGGCGAATACACCGCACAACGCCACGTCGAGTTCAGCTGGAGCTCAGGTATGCGAACTGGCACAAGGTAGGTAAATTGTCCTGGTAGGATGAGTCAACTGTGAATGAATGGGTGGGTTCTGCCTTGTTGATTTGGGTAGCCTTTCGATGAATTCACTGCTGATTCAGTGAATTCAATTCACCGAAAATGCCTGTGCAAAAACGCGGCTGGAATGCTTGTGAGCGTCCTGTCAGCCCTGCTGGCTGGTGGAGCTGGGATTGGCAGCCCTGCTCAAGCCACTGTGACCAGGTGTGTGACCTGTGACTTGGTGTGTGGCAGGTGACCTGGTGTGTGACGTGTGACCTGGTGTGTGACCTGGTGCGACCTGTGACCGCATGTGGCCTGCGACCTGGCGTGTGACCTGTGACCTGGCATATGGCTATCACCTGGTGTGTGGCCTGCGACTTGGTGTGTGATCTGTGACCTGGTGTATGACCTCTGACCTGGTGTGTGACCTGTATCCTAGTGTGTGACCTGCGATGTGGTGTGTGGCGTGTGATCCAGTGTGTGACCTGTGACCTGGTGCGTGACCTGTGACCTGGTGTGTGACCTATGACCTGGTGTGTGACCTGCGACGTGGTGTGTGGTGTGTGATCTGGTGTGTCACCTGTGACCTGGTGCGTGACCTGTGACCTGGCGTGTGACCTATCACCTGATGTTTGAACTGTGACCCATTCCAGCTCCAGCGGGACCGAGACAAACGGGGCCAGCACGTGACCGCTCACGTGGTGGAGAAGATTAACCACCTGGCGCACCAAAGCATCAAGTACTTCGACCTGTTCCTCGATACACTCAAGGACAGGTGCGTTGCGGGACGGTTGAGAACGCAGGGACAACTCAAAACGGCCGTCTTGCCCCTCCGGCGCACCGTCAATGTTAAATGGATTCGGTTTACCGAAGATGCGTTTTAGCTCATCATGTAGTGGATCGCTGCGTACACTCCTGATTCGTTGGTACACTTCCTGTTTGCCAAGAGAGTTTTTTACACGCTATTCAAAGTTACAAAGTGTTCGCCTTAGCTTAGGCTTGATGCAGGTGAGTTTCACATGTTGGTGCTTACATAATGACACCATAATAGCGCAAAATACCACGGCTGAAGACAAAGCGGAATAGTTGCGATGACCTTTGTTGGAATTCGTTAGTGTTAAGTTTTTGAAATGTAGTTCCCTGCTCGATCTGATAACATATAGAGAAAAAGCACTTTTGGATTAAGACCCAATCCTTACATAATTTCGGTTTGTTTGCCTGTCCCGTTGCGCGCGGGGAGGTGTGCTGCAAATAGCTGCGATCGAACAGAGACTACCGCCCCGATGTCGAGTCCGTCGTGAGCCGGTGAAGTACCAACACGGTGCGCTACTGTACTGCCCACGCCCGGTGTAACCATGACAACGCATCTGGCAGCGAGGGCCACTTCCCGGAGAAGTTTGACGAGGACCTGACGCGGCCGGTGCTCATCGCCTACTTCCACCTGGGCCACCTCTACAACCGGCTGATGGAGATCGAGCTCAAGCCCAAGCTGGCCAACGTACAGAAATCGATCGCCGCGTACCAGGTGCGCCACTGGTGCTCTGTAGCCCCCTGCCCCGGTCGGCGGAGGGTCTGGGCCGCCGACTGTGCCGGTCTGGGTGGGTGCGACAGCGGCCGGCCGTGCCAGGACTCCACTGAACTAGACCCCACGCGAACCGCTAGCCTTCGCGGGGTCTGGCCGCAAAGGATGGCGAGATCGCGTGAGTGCTGCGTGGGTCGCGTGTACAATTTCGGCACCGCGGCTGGTCGCTGGTTCGGTCACGTGATCGGCTGGCAGCAGGGGTCGGCCCGAGCGGATGCACCTGGCGGAAAACCGAAACGACCGGCAGCAATGACACCCGCGTGCCGCCTACGTTGCAGTTCATCATCGACTACTGCGACCGGGTGCCGATGGGGGCGGAGAAGATGACCGAGGAGCTGGCGGCCTGCCGCGAGATGGCGCGCCTGCTGCCCACCAAGATGGACCGGATACGCAACGCCATCAACGATGGCGGCACCGTCACCACCGACCTCAAGGTCTAGCTGAAGCCGCCGGGGGAGAAGCGCCTGAATCATGTGATATTTGACGGCGGAGCTGGGAGTATGGGTGGGCGGCGAGGCCGCTGAGGCGGGCGCTGGTGGGAGGACGCTGATTAGCTGCAGGGAAGACGGTGGCGGCTGTGGGCCAATCAGCGCCCGGTGTTGACGACTGGTGATTGGTCGATGTTTCCAAGACGAGTGCAGCTGGTCGGCTGACCTGCCGCAAGGGGGCTGAAAAGTCCACGTTCCGTTTTTCAGTCGCTCGTGTTTTTCGCATGTATAACTCTTTGATCGCGCGAGCTTCGCCTTTGGTTGGCTCAGGAGTCGTGATCTTTGCATAATTGCCAGAGTGTACCATGGCATGTTGTTTTGCCTCACTTGACGTCGAGTTTGCTTTGCGTGAGACGCCGTTCCGACGCGGCTGGGCTGCGGCCCAACCGGCATGGGCAAAGGTGCATTCGTTTGTCTGCACTTCGTCGTGGCAGCGTGCCGTGCCGGTCGTATCGTGAGTCACGAGGCAACGGCGAACTTCCTGACCTCCACACGCGTGACTCAGCCTGCGCACCGCCACGCCCCAGTCCGGGCATGCCCTCAAGTGAGGCGTTGAGCTTGTCCGCCTCTGGCTGCACGTGTTCCCGAGCAGCGGCGCCACCCGCCCTGCTGCGGCGGATGCGCGTCGCTGACGTGCCCAGCCGTTGCTGATTCCGAGTCGTCGCTGCTTCTGCGTTCTTGCCAGTGTCGTTTGAGAAAAACATAAACCGCTTGGCCGGCCGGCCGAGCGTTTCGCCAGCGACCTGCGAGTCAGAGCGCTGTTCTAGTGCCGTTGCCAGCAGAATGATCGGGGAACACCCGAGATGCGCCGGTGACGTCACACCCCCACACGTCGGCGCTCTCCGGCCCCGGCACTGGAGTGCATCAGCGGGGATGGACGCCGCGCTCTGGCTCTGGCTCGAACTCGACAGCCGTAGAGAGGGTTGCAGGAGGCAGGGTGTCTCGGGCACGTGCGCGGCGCATAACGCCTCGTGAGATATGCGCCGGGCTCCGCACGTTACCCCATTGGCGCCGCGTGGGACTACCAGCCGCTGCATGGATCGGGTTGCGTGTTCGATGCATTGAACACATGTGCTCACTTTTAGTTTACTCATTTGCTCACTTCGTTCTCGGTGCGCGCAGGGGACTCCCAGTCGCTAAGCGTCGCACTCGCTTCATGGTGCACGCCTGTAGCTGTTTTACTTACATGGGCAGCTTTTGACTATGCAAACCGGTGGAAACTCCGTGAAAAGTGGGACAGGCCCTCGATCGCCGATATCTGTCCAGGCTCCGTCCCCTGGTTCACCCTGGGGTGCAATTCCGACACTCGCGCTCACTACAGGAAACCTTCCCCGCCCCGATTTCCATCAGTGTTTCGGCGCTCGTGGCGGGGGCAACGTTCGTATGCAAGAAACATTGTGGCCGATGTTTAGTGCACGTGTTTCATCAGCAACGAGGCGCCGCAAGGGGCGCTGATAGTAATCAGAACATTCATCACTTTTCCTTGCATTAATCTGCAATTTTGGCGCTTGTGCTCACTACAGAAAACATAAATACCCTGCCTCCAATTTCCATCAGTGTTTTGATGTCAGTTGTCAGGTATCTGCGTGTGGTAGACAAGAAAAACTAGGATTAAGAACAGGCAGTGGCTTGAGCCATTACAAGGCATTTGGCATGGCTGTGGCTCACTAAAATAGGCTTCATTGAAAATTTTGAGCTGTGCCCTCACCACCACAACCCCCATCCATGGCCACACCCTGCAGATGCCCTTGCCTCAATCTCACCTTGGTTTAGATTGAACCTAGGTCTGATCGGAGCAGTTGGAGGTGAGGTGGAAGGGAGGAGGGGGTGTTCAACCTGTCAAAGGCCACCAGGTGTGGACAAGTGATTGCAGTACTTCGGTATCTACATAGCAATTGGGATTTAACTGCAAAGACTATCACTGTCCAAACAGAGAATTCAATGAGCATGATGCATTGTAGATCACAGAATGCAAAAATGGCAGTGCAGCCATTCTACCAAAATACTTGAGTGTACTCAGGCAGAACAAGTGCATGCCATTCAGTGGAGCCACACTGAATAATGTGGTAAACCATACTGACATTTCTCATTTTATTACTTGACTATAGACATTGACCCAACACAATATTTGGTGGCTTGGTACCAATACACATATTTTCAACAGTGCAATGAGTACGATGTGAAAGCAGTTTGGCGATGGCCAGCCAGAAGTCTAATTACTTCAGGAAAAGCTTACACTGACAGCAGCATTGCAAACAGGTTGTTCACAGTACGCCTAAATGTGATTTTTACTTTTGCACTGCTCAGAAAGGAATTTGAAAAAAACTAAGGACAGATATATTGCAGCTGAAATACAACAACAAAATCATAATGCTGAACTAAAGACAATGGATGTGTTCATGAACACATTGATAGCTTCCTCCTGGGAATGGGGAAAAACTGAAAATAACTGATTACGGCACCTTAAAATACATTTAGCACAGGCCATACATACATTTAAAATGCATGCACATATACCATGTTGTGGCTTCAGATCAACCAAAGTTACAACATGAGTTAGTTTTTCTTGCTGTTTTATAGAATGTCTTGGACTGAAGGCTAAGGTCTTCTGATTTGGAAACCAGATCATCAAGCTTCTCTCCTCTCTCCAGCACAGTCTGGATGGTGTTGTGAAGAATTATCTTGGTTTCATCAAGCTCACTTTGAATCTTGGTCATAGCATCAGCTTCTTTTGGGTTCTGATACCTGGCCAGCATGGCTTCCAAGCCAGTGAATGCCACTGTTTCTGGGGTGCCTGTTGGCCATGCTTGTGGGGCTACATTCTCAGAGAAGTCATCCAAAACCTTTGTAATCAGAGTGTGGGCAACACGCTGTGGATATTCATGATCAGAAATGACTACTCCTGCCAAATTGTCTCCCCTCACATACACGTGGCACATGTACTCTTGCTCTCGCACAGACTGTCTGGATGACTGGTGGGACCTTTCTACCAGAATCTTGCTAGTAAATGTCATAAATTCCTGCACACTTCCTCTCTGGAAAAACCCAAAGCTCTGCAAATCTTGGGCTGCTTTCAGTGTCTGTGCAGCATGAGGGTTCTTGTAAAGTACTGTAATACTGTACAACTTCATGGCTGAGGCTAACAATATAGCGGAGTGGCAGTGTGAGCTTTCTCTGCCAAGTTAGCCAGTTGCACCACACAGCCACTGATGTCTTCCAAATTGTCTGATTGAAATGAATCGGAGCCAAATGACAGCTTCCACTTTATCCTCTCGATGCTTTGGCTTTTCCTCTACTTCAATCTTTCAAGGTCAGAACTCCGCCTCCGTGAGCACAACTCGGTCAACAGATCTTCACCCCACAATTCCTTTCCTGATGAAACGGCATCTAGTTTGAGATCAGCTGACCAAGATGCAGGATTCTCAATCTTTATCCCAACGTTTGATGACTCACTGCCGGCCAGCCTTACCCTCCAACTAATGCAACAGATGTGCGCTGATGTACAGACCACGCACCGCGTCCCCCACGCGCAACACCAGGAACTGGTCAGATTATTACAGAGGCTCGGGCAGACTGGGACGCGCACAAAATTGCATAAAGCGTCGCATTCGTAGCCAGATACGACTGCCATCTCTGACGTAGTTCAGCTGCCTTCTAGCACAAAGGTTTTTACCCATGCTTGATGGGAACCTCCTCCAAACCCTGGGAAAGCTCAGATGTCGGTAGATGGTACAAGTCGTATATCAGGGGTGTAAGCTCCCTTTCAGCTGAGAGAGCTCCAGCCCCCCACTTTGAGAGGACATTGGACCGAATCTGAGGAAAACCTGTTTGTAGGCTGTTTGGAGGTCAAGCTTCGTAAGTGTTCACTGCTCAACCTACCCCGCCCCCCCCAACTTATTTTGAGAACTTACGCCGCTGCTATATATCTAAAAAGGCGTCAGTCATGGTGGTAGGCTTGCAAGAGGGTGTGGGGTGGGGGGGGGGGGGGTATGGTCTTTCAAGCTTGGGGAATCTCTGATTTAATCGCCTACAGGCATGCGCTGGGATCCCAAGATTAGATTAGTAATGCCACAGCGTTCCTTGCAAATGGAATCCTGTGATCGAAAGTGCAACCTTTTTGTGGCTTCGGACACATTTGTGAATACTATGACAATGTAGCGAAAGAAACCATTTGTTCTATTCCTATAAATTTGTCACAGGCATGTTTTCATATAAAAGCCACAGCCCCACCACTTAGACAACTGCATGCTGTTTACCACTGCGCACAGAAAGAAGCAAGATAGTGCTTCTCCCTGTTTACAAGCTATTGTGGCTCCGGCTCCCAAAATACGCTTTGCAGCATTTTGTCAGGCCTATCTTCGTCACACCTGTTGCACACATGTGCCGGAAAAACGATGCACTTTTAGTGACGTTGCGATATGAAGAGTAATGCGCATACACATAAGACATGTAGAGCATCTCGTGATGGCAATGCTGCTAGCAAAGCATTGCTAGGTTAGGGCAGTAATTTTTTGATTTGTTAAAGCAAATGTTGTTGCAACGATGATACCATAGTAATACAGTGTAATAGCATGTCATCTGTCATATGACCTTGAAGCCTTATATGCCAGCCTAACATGAGTCTGTTTAGTTTTGGCTACTTTAAGCTGCTGAAACACGGACCTCCATTCGATACTGGGCATCGCGTAGGTCGGCTGGAAAAATTTGTCAGTAGAAAGCTGCAAAACAGGCAGGTGTGGACAGCAGCAGCATGCGCAGGGCCAGGCATACGATTCGCAAGAACGCGCAAGAAACGGCCTTGGCGAGAGGCATGCGTAGGGGGCGGCGGACGTGTTGTTGAAGTTGGTTTGGTTGTCGCAGTATTTGTATTTTTACATTGTGCTCCTTTTCGTGGTGACTGGAAGACATCATTATGTGTCGCACACCCATTTAGCAAAAATACGCCGTTTGCCGCTTTGGGATACGCAACTCAGAAAGTTCTATTCCTGCTTGGGTAAGTACGTAATTGTGTTTATTTAACCCATTATGTCAGAAATACGAACTGTACGGCAGCATTGACAAGTTACAATGGCGGACCTAGTCAGATCTACTACTTGTAGAGATGGCAAGTGAAGTTTTCTTGAATTGTTCAAATGCATGAGATAGCCCAACCGCAGTGAAAATTTGGACAACAAGATTTGTCGGCTAGGCAACCACTGATTTGATAAGGCATCCTGGCAGCCAGACATTAATGGTGTTGGCAGCCAATGATGGTGTTGAATACATCTGAAAATTATGCTAACATGTATAATCCATAGAAGCTGTCACTGCAACAAAAGCCCACAAGCACTTGTTAGTTCCATTTGTATCTAATCTGTCATGGACAAATGAGTGGGGTATCAGGGGGGTTCAGCATAACTCATCAGAGTTTTGCAAGCATTAAGGAAGTGCAGGGAAAATGACAGCCTATGTCATAAGTGACCAAGCATCTGTGGAGGTACAGGCCAAGCATAATTACTTATATCATTTATGTATGCATTGACGTAGCTTGTAATCTAGATGCTGCCTGGAGTGGAATGGATCTTAACACCCTTTACTTTACCTGGTTCTCCTGCCTTCAACCCACTTAAAGCATGTGCCTGCAGGCCAAGTCAGAACACTTGCATTCTTTGCTTGTTAGTTTAGGGATGTTTATCTATAAAAGGAGCATGATATGTTGAGCTTTAAAGCAAACACACATCTATATCAATTCTAGTAAATTTGCAACTGCTTTGTCATCACTGTTAAAATCCTAGCAGACTGAAAAACATTCTCAAAAGTTTGTAAGGTTAGCATATTGTGGCATGTTGCATGTGCATGCCTTGCTGGTTGTGCATGTACTGTTGGTGTTGCATGTGGTAGTGGCTTGCATGGTGGTTGTTTGGTGCATGTGGTTGTGGATGCTCTCATTGCTGCATGCTGCATGCCCTTATGCTAGCTCCCAGGGCTATATGTGGTGTATGGCTAGTTGCCAGCTAATGAGTCCTTTGCATGTGTTGCAGAATGGGTGTCTAGCTCAACTGTGCACTTTGTCCTGAATAAACCACAGTTTAGCACTTGTCACAATGGTGGCAGCTGTGGCCAGACATGATGCTGAAGACAACATCTGAAGAGGACATTAAGCCAGCAATTCAGGAAGAGGTAAAGTTACCTGTCATGGTATCTAGTGGCAAAGTGGTTAGACCAAAATATTTTGATGGGAGGGACAGCATCAGGTGTTTTCTTCACAAGTTTGAGCAGTGCGCACTGGTTAATGGCTGGATTGATGAAACCACCAAACTGATCCAGTTGTCAGTGTCACTGCCTGACAAGGCATATGATTTCTTCATGCACTTACCAGATGACAGCAAAAACACATATACAGAGTTGCGAAAATCGTGTATGTCCGAGTTTGACTCACCTGGCTTGCAAAGTGACCAAGCACTGCAGTTGAGCTCATAGTGACGTCAGCTAGGACAGTCAACAGCTGAATATCTGCATGAATTACAGCAACTGGCAGAACAGGCTTACCCAGAATGGGCATCTGACCCTCAAGAATGGATTATCAATGCTCAATTCATCAATGGCCTGGACTATGATCTCAGCATGCAGCTGATGCTTCAAGCCCCAGAAGACGAATCTTTGGCCGACTTGGAATGGCAGACAAGAAGGATTGAGCAGGTTCGCGGTGCACCTTCGGCTCCAACTCCTTCGCCGCCGAGGAGGCTGGAGGCGGAGTCTGCCGTAGCGGAGAAGGTGGCTGAGCTCCGTGACCAGGTCAACGCGGTGGCAGCCTCCATGGCAGAACTTCAGGCGAGCGTTCGCAGATTGACCTTTGGGGGTGCTCATCACAGAGTGCGCGGTAGAGGTGCTTACCTTTCGGGTGGGTGCGCTGGACATGGAGGTCGTGGAGGAACAGCTGTTCCTAGTGGTGCCTGTTATCATTGTGGTAGTCGTGCTCACTCGGCCAGAGACTGTGGTGGCCTACAGCGGGGGCGTGGTGGTCTGTGCTACCGATGTGGACGGCCTGGCCATTTTGCGCGTAACTGCTGAGCTCAGATGAGTTTTCAGTGGGAGCTGGAGAAGAGGGCCACTCGGCGGTTCCAGGCGCGAGGCCCAGTGACGATGTGGTCCATGGATTGTGCAGTGGTGCGCGCGATGGGGAAACTGTTATGGGTGCAGCCACTGTTCCCGCCAACGATTTAAAGGCTGTGTATGTTGGAGGGTCAGTACAGGGTAAGCCTGTGACACGGTTATTGGATACAGGAGCTGAGTGTACATTAGTAAGCTCGGCAGTACCGGGCGTTTGCGATTTGGCACCCTGCGCGGTGCGCCGACAGCCTGTTACAATCGATGGTAAACCCTTGTTGTTCCAGGCATGGTTGTTGGCAGATATTCGTGTAGGCGCCTCTGTTTTTCCACAACATCCTGTATTTATTGTGGCAGCAGTGGCCACACAGTGTTTGCTGGGCGCTGACGTCATGAGAAGGCTGGAACCACCGTTTCAATTGACTGGGTCTCTGGAGAGGTGTCTGTAGGTTCGGAAAAACTTGCCTCCATTGGTGATGGGATGCAGGTTGGAGCTGTGACAGCTCTTCGCTGTGGCAGGGTAACACCGCTATGCGATATCGTCGTACCAGGTCGACATGAGATCGTCACGAAGGGGAACGCGGCTCTGGACCAGCCGGCCGGAACATGCGTAATGTACACCCGTGATGGGACGTTTGAAGATAAGCACCAGGTTGTACGTGCTCATGTGCTGGACACCGTTGGAGACAATCATCAGGTGAGCCTGAGGTTTGTGAATTCAGGTGAGGGAAGCATCAAATTATACAAAGGAACAACTGTCGGACTTGTTGAGCAGGTGGCGGTGGTGCATGACTCCTCGCCACCCCATGTTGTTCGTAACGTCGCCCAAAAGAACCAACAGCAAGGGAGGGCAAGTGACAGCGTCGCCAGGAAAATGATTGAAGAGTCCGATTTTGAATTGGAAGAGGAAAAAAGAAGATCGCGAAGCAGCTGACTGCGTACCTGGATCGCTTTCCCACCGCTGGAACACTTGGAAGGTCAGGCGTCATTCGGCATGAAGTTCGGACGGGTGATGCGCCGCCGAGGTCCATGCAGCCGGCGCGAGTGGATCATCGCATGCGAAAACAAATGGACGAAATGGTGTACGACATGCTCGAACATGACGTCATCAGGCCAAGTGTGTCCCCATACCCAGCAAGAGTAGTTCCGGTGCAGAAGAAAGATGGGACGATTCGATTTTATATCGAGTACCGTAGATTGAACGCGGATGCAATGAGTGACGCTTTTCCACTGCCCCGAATCGATGACTGTTTGGACGCCCCGTCCGGGGCCAAGTGGTGTCATGTCACGGATCTGAAAAGTGGGTATTGGCAGCAGGAGCTCAAGGAGGAGGATAAACACAAGACTGCTTTTGCAACACACAAGGGACTGTTCGAATTTAACATGGCCTCCATGGGGTTGAAGGGGGCGCCAGCGTCGTTCCAGCGGGTGATGATGGTGGCACTGTGGTGTCTCGCTCGGAACATCTCTCTTTTGTATCCCGACGATATAATCGCCTTTGGAAGAACGTTGGATGAAAGTTTGGAGAGATTGGAGATTGTTTTAGGGAGTGTTGCGAGCAGCAAATCTGATGCTGAATCCGAGGAAGTGTAGGTTGTTTCGGACGGAGGTTCAGTTCCTCGGGCATGTAGGCAGCGGGAAAGGCGTGTCCCCTGATCCCTCGAAAGTGTCTGCAGTGCAGTACTTTCCAACCCCGTCGTCCATTAGGGGGTGCGTGAGTTTCTGGGATTAGCCTCGTACTTCCGACGCGTTATTCCACGGTTTGCCCGCCTGACAAGACATCTGCATCGACTTCTAGAGGGTGCCTCTTGCTTCAGATAGACAGAAGAGTGCGCTGTGGTTTTTGCCATCTTGAAAGAAAAACTCATCTCTGCTCCGGTGTTGTGTTACCCGAACTTCCGGGAGCCGTTCACGTTGACAACGGGCGCCAGCGATGTAGGCCTGGGAGCGGTGCTGACTCAAGAGGAAAATGGCAGGGAACGTGTTGTGGCATATGCTAGTCGCAGTCTGACTAAGGCAGAGAGGAGATACTCTGAAACCGAGGGAGAGTGTCTCGCTCTCGTTTGGGCTAGTCGTCGGTTCCGGGTGTATCTGCATGGGCAGCACTTCATACTGCGGACTGACCACAATCCTTTGGTTCATCTCCGACAGAGCAGGGATCCCAGGGGCAAGCTGGCGCGGTGGATTCTGGAGTTGGAGGCGCTGGACTATGAGCTCCAGTGCCGGCCAGGATCCAGCCTTCCGCGTGCAGGTGCCCTGTCCCGCGGCCCTGTAGATGACGGCCAAGAACAATGCGCGATAGAGGTGCGGACGACGACGCTTGATAGTGACTTTGAAGTAAGATTGGCTCAACAAGACGACCAGGATCTGGCGAGGGTCATTTAACTGATAAGGAGGCGTCCATGTCCTGCGTCTGCATCACCAGTAGTGAAGCACTACATGTCTCAACAGGACAGACTGCGGATAGGTGCTCAGGGACCGCTGATCCGTGTGCTCGTCCGGAACGGCGCTGAGCACCGGCAGGTGGTTGTGCCGAAGGCACAAGTGGAAGATGTGCTCGCGAGGTGTCACGACCATTCTTCTGCAGGTCATCTTTAGGGTGACGAAGACACTAGAGAAAATCAGAGCTAGATTTTATTACAGCTCATTGTTTCAGGCTGTCAGGGTATGGGTCCAAACCTGCAAATTTCGCACGAAGAAAAAGTCTCCCTTCCCCAGGCAGAGCCTTTTTTGGAGAGATGTCTGTGACGGACTGTCTGTGGCAGTGGGCTGCAATGGATATAAGGGGTCCTTTTCCCAGAACAAACGAAGGGAACCGCTACGTACTGGTTGTGACGTGCGGGTTTTCGAAGTGGACAGAAGCTTTAGCACTTCCTGACCAGACAGCTGTCACCGTGGCCGATATATTTGTGGAAGAGCTTATATGTCGCCACGGATGTCCCGAGGTGATCCACTCGGAACAGGGGAGAAATTTTGAAGCGCCGGTAATCTAGGAGATCTGCAGGAGGCTGAACATAAAGAAGACTCGGACAACTCCGTGCCATGCACAAGGCAGCGGACAAACGGAAAGATTCAACCACACCCTGTGCGCCACGCAGTCGATGTATGTCCGTGAAGATCAGCGAGACTGGGATGGACACCTACCGTTCGTTATGTTCGCTTATCGCACAAGCGTCAACGAAACCACAATAGAGTCGCCATTCTTCCTGTTCTATGGACGGCAAGCCAGACTGCCCGTTCAGATTGTGCGTGGTGATGGACAATCGACTCGTGACAAGACGGAGTACGTGCAAGAAATGATGGAATCCCTCCGTCGAGCTCAGCGCCGAGTGCAAGACAACATCGCGCGTGAGGCCCGGAAACGATGAGAGAGGCAGGCGCAGGGCGCTCGTCAGTATGCCTATCAAGTCGGGGATATGGTATTGCTGTACAAACCGACGAGACGGGTGGGCCGCTCGCCAAAGTTGCAGATGTCGTGGTGTGGGTCATACCAGGTGGTTACGGTCTTCCAAGAGGGTGTGGCGTACCGGGTCAGGCTGAAAGAGACACCGAAATATCGGATGGTAGTCCGTCACGATCGACTTAAGCCATGCCATCAACGGAGGGGAGAAGAAGTGCCAAAGGAAGCGAAGAGAGGTGACGGTAGGGATGCGTTCAACAGGGATGAATCAGAGGAAGACGCAAGGAGGGGAGGTAAGGAAGTGATGGATGGCGGTTCTTTGCTGAGAGTTCAGGATTCCTGAGCGACGAGGACGAGGACAAGGACAAGGACAAGGACAAGGACAAGGGCAAGGACAGGGACACAGATATGAAAATCGCGGACGACGAGGTGAGGAATGCTGGGCCTGGAAACGAGGAAGCAACAGCGGCGGAGATTGGGAACCAAGAAGCAGTAGCAGAGGCTTGAATTATCGGTTCAGGATGTAGAAGAGATGTTGGTACAGGGTTAGGCGAAACTCGGGTGGAATCCCCCGCCAACTGGATGGAAGGGACAACTGAGGGAGAAGCGTTCCCTTACCGGGGAAGAAGCGAACGGCGTCGACGGGCCCCAGTTCGGCTTGAGTTATAATAATCTGAAGAGGTTTTGAAGTCTTGGCTTCGTTGTCCAGCAGCCTGTTTTTGGTCGCACTCTCCGGTGGCAGGGGCCCATATGCATTATGCCGTAAGCCGCCGAGCGCTATGCTCGGCTCTCAATTGACAGAGATTGTGTTGCAGTTTGGGATGGGAGGAATGTGACGTGTTGCGTGTGCATGCCTTGGTGATTGTGTATATACTGTTGGTGTCGCATGCGGTACTGGCTTGCATGGTGGTTGCTTGGTGCATGTGGTCGCGGATGCTCTCATTGCTGCATGCTGTATGCCCTTATGCTAGCTCACGGGGCTGTTTATGGTGTATGGCTAGTTGCCAGCTAATGAGTCATTTGCATGTTTTGCAGAATGGGTGTCTAGTTCGACGGTGTACTACTTCCTGAATAAAGTACAGTTTGGCAACTGTCACAATATGTTAGCTGTAAAGCAAAGACACATCTATATTATTTCCAGTAAGTTTGCAACTGCTTTGTCATGACTGAGTTAAAATCCCAGCGGACTGAAACAAACATTCTCGAAGGTTTGTAAGGTCAGTATATACCATTGGGTTTTGTGTGCAAGGTTCCAGGCAGATTGGGTTTGTGATGTTCTATACACTTCATCCATCTGCAGTGCTCCTCATACCACCCATGCTGTTCATCTGCAAGTAAATTGGCTGTCGTGGCATGCTGAGATGAACCAAGTATTTATGTTGCGTAGGTCTATAAATTTGTATTTGTATTTGAGAATGTCAGAGGCAGGTTTATGTATTTTGATATCTAGCATAACTGAAATAAGGTGAGATATGCTTGGCTGTGGAGAGGAGGTGCACTTATCATAGCTAGCCACAAGAAAACTAATCATTTATCTGTGAAATATTTACATGCATAGATAGATGACTAGATAGGTGATAAAGACGCACGAATGGTTTGATTTGCTCAATCAATCTGCAGACCATAGCAGGTTTTAATGATAATTCTGCGTATCCCACTATTGTCCCAATTGTCGGGTATTAGGCTGCCCCTTGTTAACATTCTTGCCATGGTTGACTAGGTCATCATTTTAGTCTGTAGGTGATTTCACTTGCCGTAGTTGATTATGTATATAGGACAATTCTCTATACAAAGTCGTTAACTTGTCATAAACCTACGAACACCCATGCCATATTTGAGTTGTATGGAAATGTTTTTAAATTGTCATGACTTGCACTTGCTTCTGTCACTGACTGGTTGGTGATCAATAATTGAGGATCAGACCACGGACTAGAGGCTTAGCACGTATGTACAACATATCTCTGAACAAAGTATTGCAGGGAATTTCTTCACAGGGCACATTATGCCTATGCAATCTCAGTCTTCCATTGTATCATTCTGGGCACTTTCCTTCCTGGCCAGACCATCCTCCCGAGGAAAAAGGGAAGCTTGCATGATGTGTCTTCATCTGTGATGAGATGGCTTCTGCCAAGCTGCTCCACGACCCAAGTTTTGTCAGTTTTTCGGTGCCGTGCACCAAGCCTGGCACTCCCACCCGCAGCCATCTTGTGCAAAGCTGTTGCCACATTGTTGCTGTGAGGGGCGCTTCGACGACGCGCGAAGCCGTTACGACGACGCGCGAAGCCGTCACAACACGCGAAGCACGTTACGACGACGCGTGAAGCTGTTACGACGACGCGCGAAGCTGTTACGACGACGCGCGAAGCCGTTACGACGAAGCGCGCCTCTCACGGCAGCCGGCTCCGGTTTCCCACGGGCGTCGGGTGGAAGCGGCTCAGCACCGCAGCCCTGCCCCCGTCTGTGACCTCAGTGACACTGGCTGCCCACCGCGCTGGATCGCATTGTCCCGGCGGACCCAGGCCGGGTCGAACCCTGCTCTGGTTCCCGGCTGGGTCAGGCCCAGCCCTCGGTCTGAGTGGACCCCCTCTCTGGTCCGTGCTGCAGGCCCACACCATGGAGGCGGTGATGACGTCAGAGGCGCAGCGCGGCGGCGGACTCAACATCAGCGACGTCCGTGAGTGTCTGCGAGCTGGGCGCGAGCTAGGCTCGGCGTTGGCTTGCGTAGTCCGGGGGTGGGGGACAGTGCGCCGTCTCCTGGGCTGGGTTGGATTGCGCGCGCTGTTTCTGGCACAGTCCAACACAGTCCGGGGCAGTGGTTGTCGCTGAGGGCTTTGATGTGCTGTGTTTCAGCCCTGCTCTTGTGATACCAGCGCTGCTGCTTTTGCAGCGCAGTGGCAAGGCTAAGGAGCTTCGTATGAAAGATGTTTAGCTGTAAAGCACAGTTAAGTCCAGCAGTCTTGTACAAAACTCGGAGAGCTATTTACTCCCGCGCTTGTGAAAGTCCAGCTCCGCATGCTGGCTTTCTATTGGGATTTCCTTCCTTTTCCGACCAGAGAGACATCCGGTGTCATCCGGCCGAGCTGTCTGCGATCTCCTCTCAGCTGTTGCTGCGTACCCCTGCTCGGGGGCGCGCCCTCTGGGATGTGGCGCTTGTCAGCAGCGCATTTGAATTGAGTTATGGTCGCCACGTCCGGCTTGTAATGTTGTTCGCTGCGTATTTCGCTACCGTCTAGCCCCATTAGAACACAGAGGGCTCAAGGCTACGTGGATAAGCGGGGCGTACGCCACGGACGACGGCAAATTCTCCATCTAGAAAGATTATTGGGGGCATCCGTTCTCATCATACCTTTAAGTAAGCACGCTTAACCCGGGTGGCGTATCGTCGTCGCTTTCCCAGTGCCAGTTTGGAAATCATTTGTTGAGACCCGACCATATTTGACGTCGATGTCTAGGTGTCCCCACTAAACCACTAATTGGTGGTCAAACTGGTTGGTGGCTGCAGATGCGGCCTTGGCTGGCTTATGTTGCAGGTGCTCGGTATTATTGACGTTGTGCGGTGTTTGTTGCGGACGTTGCTGTACTACGGGGGCCCAAGGCAGCCATTAGTCGTCATCTTGCTACCCAGTAGCCGGGACCTCCCATTTGGATTTGGCACGGACTGAATATTATGGGGCGTTTGGACAGCACATGCAGCGACTGACTGAATTTATGAAGAGCCGTACGCGGGTCAGAATACATCTTTGAGAATATATATATATATATATATATATATATATATATATATGTATATATGTATATAGTTATATGTATATACTGCATATATGTATCACCTAAATACACGGACTAGCTGCGGCCATGACTTCTCAAACCACTCGCTCCACCTCAATCGGTCCGGCGATATCAGTCTCGCCACCGCCTGGTGTCGACTCCGCGAACTGTCCCAGGACGGCCGTCCGCTGCTGCCCCCTGTTGTTTTACGCCGTCGGGGCCTCTCAGCAGAGTGTTTCTACCGTGTTCGACATTGCTGAATGTTGCTCATGTTGGAGAGACGCGTTCTTCTCGAGGATACACCAACGGGTGGTTTTACTTTTTAGATAATTTTGCTGTTTTACACATGCCATGTTGAACGCGTGAATTTATCGCATTTGCTCCTTCATCCTGCACCGTCTCGCTTGGCTTACTGCCGCTGCTTGAGGCCTCGGCCAGGTCTCCACCGGAGTGGATTGCGGCATGCAAGTGCCGACCCCTTAAGGTCGGGTGTTCGGGAACTGAGCTTTGAGCCCAGCCCGCGGACGTTGTCTGGGCTGGGCGCTCGGACGTGCGCCTTTTTATTGGTCTTTTTTATTGCGCCTTTTTATTGGCCGTGCAAACTTGCGAACGTATCACGTGGTAGTCGTGAGTCGTCAGATCACGTGGCGGCCGTGGTGTCCGAAGACACCGATAGGTTGTTGCGTTATGATGACGGTCCCGACCGTTGGATGGAAAACTACGCTGGGCTGGAATGCGTGGGTTGTTGGTGGTCTTGGCACGAAAGCGTACTTATTATTTGCCGTACCCTAAGGCGCTTTTTGCATACCATTAGAAGCTCACAAGTCCGCAAGCACGAACTTAATGCGATAAGTGATGCTTTTATTTAATCACCCTTGAGATGGTCAGTTTGTTCTGCCGAGTCGTTTGTAAACGGCGCCTCACGTACATAGGTGTTTCAGTAGTGTATTACAATATTCAATAACTCGAGTGGCAAGGATGTAGACATTTGGTCGTGCGGTCCCATCCCCAGCTCGCGTTGCATTGCCTGCTGCCCCTGCCCTGCTTCAGAATCAGCCACTCGGCATCGCAGGTCACAATGTCATGGTCAGGGGTCAAAGGAAGGCACATCAGCCCGCACAACTTGGGCGCGGAGACAACCGAAGAGCCAGACATCCGGTGTCAAAAAGCCATATTGACATCCATGACACTCAATTGGATTAAGGTGGGGATGGTGCGTGGCTGTGGCGTTCCGGGAATTCTTTTTTGGCGTTCTCACTCATCTCCGGGTCATTCGGTCGAAGTTGTAGCACTTGGCTTGCATTCAATAATCGTCGCCAAGTGGTCCAGACGTCTGCAGCACCAGCACACGCGACTTCCAACAGTTCGGTGTCATGGTGACGTGGCAGGGCGGCGTCCGGTCTTGCTTCATATGGCTTAAAACGAGGCAGAGTGCGATTCGATTGTGGATTGGACCATTTCTGATGGATACATTTAAGTTACACCCAGTTTACAAATTTACCTTTGCATTACGTTGATACGCTGATACGCATCAGCGTATCAGCGTATTTAGTACACGCATTGTAAGCTCTGCGCTTAGGGACGTGTACGTCTTGTAGACACCGTGGGTTTTATGCACATTTGGCTCTCGTCTGGCGCGACATTGTTCTGACGTAATACCGAACCAAAAACAACATCTTGTTCTGTTTTTTTGTTGTTGCACATTTTGTTATGAGCAGTCTAACAAGCATGCGACCCAATCATTTGTCGGAGACGTGCTGACACGCATTTAAAAGTAAGTCACCGCTCTCAGCTGCACGTTCCACGCTAGCATTATTAGACGGGAAGCTAATATGGGACTCAATCTGAAAGAAACGGAAAACGGAACTGTGTTCTCAGGATACAATTCTGATTTATCTCTAGAAGCCAATTCACCACTTTATGTTTGCGTTGACTTTGACTCGACGATTTGAGTCCGAGGGGACCAAATCTGTAAACGTAAAATGACAAGCAGGTACATGGCAACAGAATGTTTAAGAAGGGCAGTTTCGGCTCCTATGTGTCTGAATTTTTGTTCATTCTAGATTCGGCAGGAAATTGTGTTCCCGTTGAACAACGCTAGCGTGAAAGGCTTGTTTTAATAAAAGTCAGAATCGAAAAAGAATCCGTCTGCCCTGGACACTTGTTACATAACGTCGCAGCGGTTGCCAGGCCACAGACGCTGCCATGTCATGTCACATGTGCCATAGGTGGCAGAACGCGTGGCGTGGAGCAGCAGCGTGCGGCGGGCGGCTGGCAACGCGACGCCGTGTCGTGGCACAGTTCCAGGTGGCTGTCCCCAGTGAGTCAGCAACATGGATAAGGCAATGTCCTGTCATTGACCACGTGTCACATAATTTCTGATCAACATCACGATTCCGTATTGGGCGCAAAGTGACCACCGGAGTCGGGGGCCCCTAAACCACAAACACTGCTTCCAATAATATTAATAATAGAATGGTCACGCGCCAGAATTCGATGCACGAGACCACCGCGAGGAGCGGGCGCAGCTAGAACCACTGGCCCAGCGGGTGCACTGCCGCCGGTCCAGTTTCCGTCAGTAAGAACCGGCATTCTCCAGTTCCGTGGCCGCGCCCACAAGCGGCCGTTGAAGCCGATGCCGCCACGCGTTCATGCCCCGACGTCGGCGAGACGCCTGTTCAGTCGGCCGCCGGCGGGCGGCAGTGCGCGGTGGGGCGGAGCCCGGGCGGCGCCGGGTACCCCAGACCGATGGCGGGCCCGTGCCCGCGGGCGCGCGAGCCGGGCGTCTGCGGCGACCTGCGGCCGGCGCCGGCGGCCGGCTCGTCCGCGCCGGCTGACCTGGCCGCGGCCGGCGCCGTGACTTCGAGCCGACCGTTGCCAGCCGCCTCTAAAAGTGGATGTTTTGTCGTGTGCTTCCAGAAAGCTGCAGCGACGCCTCCAAAAGGGGCGCAGGTAAATCACCGTGGCGTGTCGCGTAGTAGGGCGGCTCCCGGCGCTTGCGGGGCTCTGTTTTTTCTGGTGCTGTTTTTTGCCGCCCCGAACATTGTGGGCGGTCGCTTTCCGCGACGCCGGGGTGGACAGTTTAAAACAGATATTCCTCTGTGTGTCCGGACTGAAGCAGGTCAAAAGGTTGCGTCGTCACGCAGCTAATGCACCTAGGTCGCGACGGACCGAGGCCGTTGGGTGGAATCTTCGTTTGGTTTTCGCCACCGGCAGCCGTTTGCTCTTGTTTAAGTATCTATTGACGTTTTTTACTTTTCCGAAAATGCTCCCGGGATATATCCGTGGTGCTAATCGTCCTGTTCGCATTGATCATAAATGGTTCGGTGGTAACTAGGAATATTCCACCAACACGATGTGTGTGGAGAGTTTTGTGACATCGACGCCACGTCGCACAGCCGTTAGTCAAAGCCAGCGAGGTCTTAGGTCGGGGAGCAGGCTACGACCGACCGCGCCGGACCTGCGTTACCCCCATCTCTGCCACTCTTGCTGCTCTTTTTCTCTCTCTCCGGGTACTTGCTCTGCCGTGATACGCGCGCGTTGAGACCCGGGTGAACCCAAGAACGAGTCATGCATGTGTCTCGGGAAGTTGGGGCAGTTGGGGGGGGGGGGGGGGGTCGGTCGAGGTCACGATGGCTCGAGTGTGCGCGAGCGGCCACCTGCCGCTTCTGGCGCCTAGTACAGGTAACAGCAGCGACAGAGCGGCGTCAGTCGCTGCCGCGTGACACGCCCCTCGCCGGACGCGAGCCGCGTCCCGCCTGGCGGAGAGCCCTGCCACCCGGCGCCGCGTCTCGCCGCCGGCCGGGAGTGCCGCGGGACGCCCGGCCGGTGACCGACGCTGAGCGCTGGTGCTCGCGCTGTAACCGGGCAGAGAGGGCGCGCGCTGCCGCAGCCGGAGCGGCCACT